GGGGTAGATGTTACTTGTAAGTATGCTACCTACCAAAAGAGGATATTTATGAACCGAGGTTACTTGTAAGTATGCGGTTATGTGTGGGAGACTTCAAGGGGGGTAGAGGTTACTTGTAAGTATGCTACCTTCCTAAAAGGACATCTAACGACCGTGGTTACTTGTAAGTATGCGGTTATGGGAAACAAAGACTTGAAGGGGGTGGAGTTTACTTTTAAGTATGCCACCTGCCAAGGGAAATATAATAATCGATGGTGGAATAAGCGTTCCTTTTTGTATTATGGTGTTACTATTGCATTTCCCACAAGAGCTTGTGGAGGTATGGGACTCTACAAGAACTTGTTGGAAATGGTTATGGTTGCCCATTGTGACTTGGGTTTACTGTTCATTTAAATTATTGCGAATGTTTAAACTTGAGATCTGTTTCAAATGTCACGGTTTTACTTCAAATGTTATATGATATTTTGGAAAATAAGACCGAACTGTTTTACTTGTTTTCTAAACCTTGTATGAGTATGGAAGGAATGTTGCTACAGAGCTTAGTGCTCATCCCCTACAAATAATATCTTTTCAGATTTCGTCTATGAGGAGGAGTTACAAGTAGATGAACCAGTGCATGGGGAAGCTCCCCTAGAGGGGAACGGGGGTCCTGAACTGGATGCCTAGAGTTATATTTCTTTTGTACTAGACTAGAGAGTTTATTTTGAAATTATGTAAAGTCTAGTATTTTGTTATTTCACTGCAAGTGTAATTTAATTCTTTTGGGAATATATTTGTCATACTTGGCCTATTCTTTTGGGATGGCATTGTGGATATGACATATGATGAATGAAAGTTTATTTTATGATGGATAAATAGACCCGGTGTGGTCAATAGTTATGCATATGTGGACCCGGTGTGGTCAATTGTAATATAATTGTACAGATTGTGTTTTGGGTAAAGCTCCCCGTACAAATGAGACTCTGCCCAAATTTTGTTAAAATATGAATGGTTGATGAATGAACTTTCGTTGTGATGAATTTACGTAATGCTCTCATGGGGTGAATGGTTTTTAGAATGTAATGTCACCCAAGGGGTTTTTGGGGCGTTACATATAATATTAGCAATTATATAAAAGTATTAGAAATTGCGTACAACATATTTTAATCTTAAGTTGCAATATGAAAATATTTATATTTTTGGGTGTAAAGTGAAAAAAATCAATTGTCACAATACCCCCAAAAGACCCAATGTCTCTCGCCCCTTCTGCTTCCACACACAAATTCCTTTCCTTCTTTCCCTCTTCTCTGTGTCCTTCGATCTGTCTCCCTCTACCCATCTTCGTGTCTTCCTTCAATCTGTCTCCCTTTACCCATTCTTTCTATCTCTTTATTTGTTATAGCAACTCCAAGGAGCACTTTAAAACTCCCAACAGCTCATCCTCTTCACAGAGGCCAGTTGTTGCTGCATCATCTTCTTCCAAGAATTCATTACCCAGGTATGGAGCTCTCTTTCTCTCGCTCTATACGTGTATGTATGTATCACCCATCCCCTTTCTCTATCGGCTCTCATTGAAACCCGAACAAAAATCCATCTCTTTGTCTCGGCTCCGATTGAAACTCCAACCAAAACCCATCTCTCTGTCTCGGCTCCGATTGAAACCCCAACCAAAAATCATCTCTCTGCCTCGACTCCCATTGAAACCCCACCAAAAACCCATCTCTCTCTTTCCAAAATATGTTTTATTATATTTTCTGATTTTGTGGTCTCTTTGAATTTGTGGTCAGTGATTAGGGTTTTTTTTGTAACCCGTTTATCTTTTTATCCCATATAGAATAAATTACATTTGATTTTCTGAACTTCAACTAATGACGCTTTGGTTGTTTTTGTATGGATGGATGGATTTGGGACATCGTCTACAACATCTACCACGAAAACTCGACCTAAATCAACGAGCAAGTTGAAGACTTGGTCGCTTCACCCCCCATTTTACTTCCTTCAAGTGGGACACAACACACAACAGGTAAATATACATCCCCCTCTCTCTATTTAGATATTACTTGAAGACCCAAAATTCTTTAATTTTATATGTCCTAACTTACAAATACTTTTCATGGGTTACAGTTGTCTGGGTGGTTGGTTACAAGTTTTCTAAGTGGTTGGTTATTTTCAGAGTGCTGGGTTACAACTTTTGGTGGAGTTCGATATGGTTTAGATTGTGTTACAAGCTTTATGGATTAGGTTCCAACCTGTGTGGATTAGGTTACAACTATTATGCCTGCTTATGTTTGATTAAGAGCAAATTTGTTATGGGTGTTTATGGTTTGATTTTATTGTTTATGACTTCTTACTTATATAGATATATGGATAAGTTAATATGTAAATGATTTCATTATGTTTATTTTATGTGTATTGTTTACTAACCATGACAAAACTAAATTTGGCAGGCTATTTGTTTGGAATACAATTACAATAATGTAAGTACTTCTTGTTGAAATTTTTGGGATACTCAAATTCTTTTGCATTAGGTTAACAACATAGTGCATTGTACAGGACCAAGAAGATGCAAATCGAAGCTGGACAACAAGTGGAGCATCAAACGTGCAAAAAGATTTCATCGCCAAGGAGTGCAACCTCTAGTACTTCAGTTAAAAAAGTTAATAGCAAACTCAAATTTTTTGTAAGCATTACATTCAACAATTTCAGTATTTTGTTGATTCACTAATTGTCATACTGTTACACACTTTTGTAGAATATACTTGCAACCCGATGCTCACCCCAAAAGGTAGTAAGCTTAATTGAAACATTGACGGATGAATAGAAACGGGGGGTGGCAAAAATTGGAATGGGGGGCTTGTTAAGTTTGAAAATCCACAATCTTAAGAGAGGGCTTTGCTGGTGGTTACTTGAACTATTTGATCTAAATACTTGCTTGTTGAACATATTCAAAAAATTCATAAAATTTTGTCCTGAGGATGTGGAGTACATTTTGGGGTTGCATTGTGGAGGGGAAGATTGGAAACCAACGAATCTGCATCGAGAATAACTGATGTTATGAAGAAATTTTTGAAGGAAAAATTCTCTTGTCAACGACTGATATAGGGAAGAAAATAAAGAAAATGAAAGAAGATTCTCAACAATTTTGGCAATACTTTGTGTTGTATATTATTGGAGTTTTCCTGTGCCCAATGAAATTAAAATTAGTAGGCACTTTCTTCCCATTGTTGAAGATGTGGTATCTTTGAAGTGTAAGAACTGGGCAAAGTTTATATTTGACTAAATGATTCAAGCGGTACGTGACTACAAGATGGCTCCCCATAACTGTATCAAGGGTTGTATTATTCTCCTCATGGTGACGTATTATACTCATTGATTATTTCCTTCTAATTTTTGGTTTTACTTACCTATAATTAGTTATTTGTTGTCGTCTAACTAGATTTTCTTCTTTGAACGCGTCACACCTATGGGGAAGAATCTAGTTGATTTGGCGTCACGATCCTGCCCCCGTATTGCAGAATGGGATGACGTAAAAATAGGTGCGTGCCTTGTGCAGCTAAATGAGTTAGGTGGATATAAAAATTACAAGGTAAGTCATTTGTATTTTATCATTACAACACACATCATGCTTTATGTAGTATATTAATGAGATCTACCATTATTTTTAAATGTATATTGAATGGTTGATGTAGATTAAGGTGACGGTTAATGATGTGTGCTAGCACCGGCTATCGACTGATGCATGCGTCAAAGTAAAGCAGATGTATGTTTTATTACTCAACACCCTATCATTGCTACCATCTTTATTACGCAACACCCAATGTAGATTGTTCATTTGTTCACAAATTGTTCCTTTGTTCACATATTGTTCATTTGTTCAGGATTTTGATTCAAGATTTTCCAGATTAGAGGTGACACAGACTGCAATCAAATTAGATTTTCGAGATTTGTCTCTCATGGTTGATGTCGAGCTTTCTACTATAAAGGACTTGTTAAGAAATTTATCCAACCGAGTCAACACCATCGGTAACAAATCAAAAGGTGTTGAGGAATTGAATAAGAATGAAAGAGGTGATGAGGAATTGGATACACAAAATATTGATGATGATGGCGGTGATGGTGATGGTGATGGTGACGACAGCGTACGTGAATCATTTCATAATTTTTTCATTGTTTGGATATTAGAATACTGACTGCCTTAATTGGTAATATTGGATAATTGTGTTCATAACATTGCAGGATGAAGATGATATTGATATGCCAGAGGGGGGTACCTCACATAACAAGAGTCCTGCGAAGCCACGAGGAGTCAATGTGGGAGTACATACTGGACAAATCGTTAGAAATACTATAAGTGAATCCATAATTTATCAAACTGTATTCTTTCAGCATAATTGGTACATTGCATTGACAAATTGGTACCATTTCAATACATGTAGAGAGGTTCTTGTAGATTTCGACGACACCATATTTCTGACGACTCGGAAGTCAATGCAGTCCTTATGGGGAACCAAGTGGATAGTTGATGATGTAACTAGATTACTTTTGAATGTATTATTACCATCAATTATTGTGCCAAAACAATTTACAATACACAATAATTTAATTTTTTTTCCTGATTAACAGTGATAAATATGGTTCATTGTGTTATGTCCCCCGATACCAAGATCAATCGCACCAACCAAAATGCCAAATGGTACTTCCCAACAATGTTTTCGGTAAAGTATCCATACTCCTCATCGTTGGGTTGTGTGATACTCATGATATATGTTTGTTAATCGTGTATACTTAATGAATGGTTTTGGCAGCAAGCAACAATTATGATGAAGAATAAAGGAAAAAATGTCTTAAATTTAGTTATCAGACAAACTTGTTCTTGTTTCATTGGTGATATTAAAAATTGCGATAAGGTTTGAGATTCTGATTTTTGTATCCATACTCCTCAGCATTTCACCTGTTTCTTGCTACATTCTATGGATTTTCTCTTCCCTCCATTGTTGATGGATTTTTAGTCTTTTTAGTAGGTTTATTTTGGCGTAGAAGAGAAGGAGTTGTTGGATGAGTGTGAGGACATCTGCGAGAGGATGCACATGTTGGTTGAGAGGTTGCAAGTTCTCGATAAATTTGCTTACAATGGAAGAAGGGCTTGTTCCTGGTTAGAAGTTGTTTCAACCTCACAAGTGGTTGGGAGTATAACATATTTTTTAATTAAAATGTTGAGGACATTAGATTGGAGTGCATAGACTAGTTGGTGATACTGGTTCTTGATTGAGTATTGGTAGATATAGACAAATTCTGGAATAAAGGTGTACATGAATACTATTTTGAGTATAATGGTAGTCCTTGGACTACAGTTGGCATGTCATGGTATAAGTACATAAATGCCCTTATTGTCCGTTTAAACCATTATTTAAGAAGACTTAAACTTCGTATGTCTTGACTAGTATATCTGCATCTTTTTCTACTCCTCTATATTTTCATCCCTTCCCTTCTAGTTCTACATCTCCTTCCTTTTCTACTCTCATTTCAAGATCTTCAACTTTTTTACTTTGATTTTGAACCAGGAATGACCAAACAACATAAATGGTATGTTGTTTTTAAGGGTAGGGTTGTTGGCATTTTACCCCATCATGAGAGGAATGTCATCAACATGTTGTAGGGTATAGTGGGGCATTGTATAGGAGTTTTGCCTCTTGGGAGGATGTATAAGTGGCACTTCCAACTATATTGCATCTAAGTATGATAATCCCCACAAAGCCGGTGGACAGATGACACATGAAGTGGGTAATAGGGCACAGGTGAAGATGACACATGAAGAACTGGGTAATAGGGCACAGGTCAACTGCAATGCGAATGAATTTATATGGTGCATTGTAGAATTGGTAATAAGTACTATACTCACTCATATTATATACCACTTTGTCGCATGATTATGAATTAATTGATGTTTTATCCAACTCAAAAAGGCCTGCACAATTCTAATTTTGTTTTAAAAAAAGAAAGAAAGATTTTATAGATTGAACCAAGAAAATTACAAGAATCAAAGATTTACAAGATAAAATATCAAAATACAATTTTACACATTCTTGACTTTAATCCTTCAAGATGCTTTGAAGGAATTTACATTACCACCAAAGAGCTCAGACACTTCAAACGAACTACTTCAACAGTCCACCATTCTTCCCAGGCTTGGCAAAGAACCCACAACAGCAAATTCAGAAGAGCAAAGCCTTCAAAATTTGAGACAAAATGCACCATAAAAAATTGTAATTGTTTGATTCCAAAAAATGTATTGTTTTGTTCCACAAAATATATTATTAGCCCTTTCAAGACTATATGAAATAGACTACAAACCCTCTAGTGACCTCTACTATATTTCATATAGTTAGGAAAGGGCAAACCCTCCTATTTGGGAACCCAAAACTATATCTCAGTCCACACTATATATAAAAAAAAGTCAGTGTAACTTTTGGAATTTCTCAATCCAAACTAATATCTCCCCATGTTTATCATTTTACTACTGTCGTGCCTTCGTTATAATCTTGTCTCTTGGTTCATTATATACATGGGTAACTAGCTTAATTGCTATATTCATGCGCATTTGATTTGATTGCTCCTAAATCCAACAGTATATTAAGAGAGTTCACAAATTAAAATGTTAAAACAAATTTAGTTCACTAAAAAGAAAATGCATCATATCGTAATCCTGAATGATGGATCCAAAATTGGAGCACTCATTATCTTGATAACAAAAACTCCGCAATCATGACTATTATGCTGTCGAGGAGCCCACTGCACTAATATCGTCAGTGTTGTGAAACCTAGGAAATTTGAACTTTTTCCGACAAAGGACAGAATAGTAATTTATCACTATTATGCGGGATTAAAATGCATATTCTATAGAGCTCAGATGGAGCAATAGACTTCACCGTTAGATTGATATCGCAAAATTGAGCTACAATGTCAACTTTCGTCGAATTTTGAGATAATAGAATTTTATATGTTTTTCGAGACGATTGGGTGACAAATGAACTTTTAAACGTCCCCAAAAATAGAAATTATAAAATTTTCTTATAATTGAATAAAAGTTCAACTAAAATTTAATTGAATTGAAATCGAAATTTAATTAAGTCGTTTCGGGTTAAAAATGGATCCGAAAATGATAAACGAGTGGGGCAATGTGGACCGCGCAATTAAAAGTATTAATAGGGCTTAAATATCTAAAAAATCAGATATTTTGCTCATTTTTTGGCTGGTTCCAACGTTGGAGAAGAGAGAAAAGAGAGATGAGAGAAATATTGATTTTCAAGGCTTTCTCCTCCGATCCGCCAAGTTTCGTCGGTTGGAATTCATCGATCCAAGAATTAAAGTTGGTCTACGAGATGAGGGCTACTCGTACGTACCAAGAACGAATATTTTCACCAAACGTTCGAAGACGGAGCTTTGGAAAAATCAAAGACTTGGAGCTAGGAGGTGCCTAGAGGGTTCTACCTTTCTTTTACACTTCAAGAGGTAGGGATTCTCCTACTTGGGTTGATTTCTTACCTAGTTTGTATTAGGTAATGGGTAAGGATGTAGACCAACCTAGGTCTTTTGACTGTGGTTATGGAAATGGATGTGGAATTTGGCGTTAGACCAATTCCTAGTTAAGTTTGACATAAGAAATTACTTGTATGATTTCCTTGGAATTTGATATGCTTGGATATGCTATGTGTTCAAATGTGCCTTGAAATGATATGCGCAGATTGGTGTGATAATATGATTTGTGTGATAACATAAATTGTACCTTGAAGGTGTATGATAAAATGTCTTGAATAATCTAATGTTGTTATTTTGATGTAAATAACATGTTTGAGTTATTACGATATGTGGATATATGCTTATTGGTGTATTGAGCATAATAATGATTTATGGAATTTATATGCTCATGATATGAATTGTCATGGATATGTGGATAAATTGCTCATTTGACATCCATTACATTTTGGGCATGAGGTTGCATCACATTTATGGTCTTAAGCATAAGTGTGGGTGTGTATGCATGAAGTAATCAATACCACTCTTGGTAATTGATACGTGGACTCGGAGATGTTGGATCAAAGATTCCTTGGAGTCGCATGTTACATGAGGAAAACTTCTGTCGGGTATAGTAAGTAGGGCTAGACACTCCCTCGGGTGAAAAACTCAGGCACTTGGTTCATACACTTCCCTGTGATGAAATTCTGAAAAAGTGTAATGGTGTACGGAGCCACCGGTGTGATTCCGGAATCCAATACCCAACAAAGACACATGGTTTTGGTTGTATAAAATGTTCATTGAATGGGAAACATCCAACAATGGAAGGGTTTTCAAAGCATATGAATTATATTTCAAAATGATCATTGGATGTTTTTCATCATTGATAAGGGGTTTACACTTGCATTGCATAGTATGGTGAGGGCCGGTGAAGGCTTGGGTTGAGGTGCGTGAGTGAATCTCATTTCATTAATGACACGGCATGGGTGGTCCAAACATGAATTGCATATTCTTTCATTGGAATGGATATTGGTTGTGTGTTGTTGCATGAGGTCATTGCATATGCATCTAGGTGGGGAGTAGCCTCTGTAGGAAACTTTCTACTGAGCGTGGCTCACTCTATACGAGACACATTTCAGGTGCAAGGCTCGTACCGAGGGAGGACACACATTTGGGGTCTTGAGAATGAAGAAAAGCTGGGTTGTGGCTTTTAATCCAAGTTTTTGTAAATTTATGTATAAATGCCCTTTTGGACATGTAATCATGTAAATGGGTTGTAATAGACTTGTATGAATCATTTATATTGTAGAAAATACCTTTATACATGTTTGAGAAGAATTTGGAAGGGTTTTGATTGAATTGCAAATCAAAAATTGATGAAATATGAAATTCTGGACAAAACCTACCAGTAGTAGGCAATAACTACCGGTAGTTAACAGGTAGTACCTGTTCGGCAGACAGTAACTACCGGTATCTAATAGGTAGTACCTGTCCAGCAGGCAACGACTACCGGTAGTCAACCAGGTAGTACCTGTCCAATAGGAAACACCTACCGGTAGCTCTTCCAAAAACCTAAAAAAATCCAAAATTATTTTGCTAACCTTTTGAACTTCACTTTCTTTAGTTCCAATGATATAAATGGACGTTAAATGAGGTATATTAAGGCTCATTAGACCTCTGTTGAATTAAATGATTAAAGAAACACGGGTTATACGTGTGTGTTAAAATCCTAGATATTGGGATATTATTGGTGAGATGTCGGCTCAAGTGACACTCACGGGCATTCCCCAGGTTGATGGGTTGTCAACGGGACCCCCGATTTTAGGGGCATCACAACTTGGTATTAGAGAATAGGTATGTGATTACCTAGGGCTTGATGGGCATTGGGTTTAGACCATTGCATGCATTGTACATTTCATCTTATGTACTTACATTGTGTTATATGATTCAATGCTATGTGATTATGTGAATGATATACATGGTGAAATGTATATGGGAAAGTAACACTAGGGTTAGAACACATAACTTTGGGAGTCGAAAAATGAATAAACGAGATAGTTCAAGGTATAAATGTTTACTAGTAGATGGTAGAAACTCTACTAGGAAAACAAGGAGATAAATCTCAATGTTTCAAGTTTGATCCCTACATTGGGATGTTATGTGAATGTTCTATTATCATTTGACATGTGTGTAGATGACAACTAGAGGAAGGGGACGTCGGGGTGGACGGAACAATAACCAACCACCACTGACTTTTGACCAACAAGCTTTAGTGGAGGCTATTGGTACGGTGGCTGCCACCATAGCACAGGCTAGTGCTATGGCAGCCACTATTGCACAGACGGGTACTAGTGGAGGACAAGGAGGCTCAAGAAACCTCCAGAAGTTCAAAGCACACCAACCTCCAGTATTTCTAGGAGGGGCTGATCCTATGGTGGCTGACCATTGGTTCTGTCAAGTGGATAAAGTATTGAGAGCAATGAAGATTACTTTCGATGCCACGAAGATAACCCTAGTGACATTCCAGCTAGAGGAGGAATCCCAAGTGTGGTGGGATTGGGTCAAGGACTCCAAGAACTTGGAGGCTATTACTTGGAAAGAGTTCAAGGAGCTCTTCATGGGAAAGTATTTCTTGGTAGCTGCTAGACATACAAAGGCCTGAGAGTTT